CACTTTGCACAAAATCACTACTGAACTGTGCATCTGTTGTGTRTTTGCAGAACCCGCAGTTATCGAGGATTCCAAAGTGCACATTATCAGCTGCTACAAAAGGGCTATGRAATCTGTCATCCTTTGTGCACCAAACGTGACACTAAATAACCTTCAGCAAACACAACAGTGGCAGCTAGGATCACAGYAGAGATTATACTTCCTGATTAGCTCTCCATACACAGTATCAGAAATTAAAACTGATACATGGAGAATAAAGACATCTCAGTTCATTCTGTGAAGGCAAAATTCTCATACTTTCTGCCAGAAGATGCCTTTGATATACATATATGTATATATATATATATATATGTGTATATATATACTGGCATGAAATAAAAGGATTCGGTAATACAACTTCAAACAGAAGATGGGATTTTAAACTTAGTGAAGATACAAAATGCAAAGTTACAATTCCTGCAGTAATCATGGTTTAGATCCTATAGGCTCACTCCTGCAAGGTTCTGTACTGTGGTCATGCTCCAATAAGGAAGTGAAACATGTCAGCAATCTCACTCATTTCAAAGGCTCTACTCATAAAATTTAATTTAAGCAACTTGCTTAAGCATTTCACATAATCAAAAGGAGATCACTAAGCACTTTGCAGAACTAGGACCCTTATGTGTAAGGAGAGCATCAGTCATGTAGGGTTAAGAGCACAAAAAATTTTCTTTACCACATATGCAATCATTCAGAACTTTCTGGTATCACCAAATTTAGTGAATACCCATCCAGGTGCTCAATTATTTGGAAAAGATAATGTAGTCACTTGAGGGTACAAGAAAGGGTTAAAAAAAGGAAAAATTAATCAACACTCTTTTCTACTGCTTACAGTCTCAGGTTTGAGTAAAAAAAATGTTTTCCATTAAAAATAAGAAGTGGGAATTTAGGAAACTAAGATAGCTCTGAAAACAGACTTCAGAAAAATCACTTGCTGTTCACATAAAACCTGTCTGACAGTGTTTTGACACATATCAGAGGTGAAGGTTTTTCATCACTTTGCACMAACTCCAGCTAAAGTAGCTGCATTAAATAAAGGCTCACAGATTTAGAGAAAATGCCTGAAAACTGTCTGAAAGATGAGCAGAACAGAAACTGCTCTGAGGCATGATCTCATCCTTACTGCCACTGAGATGTACTTGCCCAATTTCATTTCTGTATCTTGGCTGCTGCTGAAGTTCAAAGCTAAGATCTACTTCCCACAGAACTGCCAAGAGAAGACAAGCTAAAGGTGATACAGCATCATTCTCCTCCATGAGTATTAAAGCTACCTGTGGCACTGCCTGTGACCTGTCAGGAGCAGGGGACAGCTATGCAACTTCCTTCCATCACTGTGGCAGCAAATATCAGAAGAGAAAATATATTAGCTTAATTTTCTGTTAAAACAAGGTTGTATTTAACTGCTCCACACTCTGCACCATACCTAAGGATATAACATACCATAACCTAAAAACTGCATTGAGAGAGTTTTTCTCCTTCAAATCCTAGTAAATTTCTTAGYAGCAAGACAATGTGAGAGTATATTTCCTTGTTCAGCTATTCTGGAACACAAATGTCAAACTCTGCATAAAAACTACATAATCATTAATGTTAACTCATGCTGGAAGGCAAATCATTTTAGCATATACCCTGTCTCCTCCTTTGAGATAGAAAAGATTGGGGGAATAATTAAGAAAAAACAAACCACAACAAAAAAACACACAACACCAAAAAAAAACCAAAAAAACCAGGAAAGCCCCTCTGAGAAAACTTGGCAGGAGTTTTTATGTTTTATCTAATTGAGCAAAAGTACCAAATTCCAGAAAATAGCTAAAAACTGAACCACAACTGAATGTGTTCTTGAAACAGGCCAGGAATTGTGAACTAAGTTGCACCTGGCAAGACTAATAGTTGCAAAGTATTACCCAGGTAGCTGTTGATGATGTTATGGATCCAYGTAAYTCACATTCAGCAGTTTTGAAGTGCRGCCCAAAATCTGCAGTAACATTACAATATGCTGTTAAGATGAGGCCAGAATTRTAGCACTCATGCTTTTGAAATCACAACCTATACAGGAGATGGTAAAGAATACAAAGATAACTTGGCTTAAGCAGGAATGCTGAAGATTTAACAGGGTGACCATAATTTCTTCTTACAAAACAACCCCCAAGAACACATGCACACACAGTATGTTTTAAGGTAAATCACCAGTTTATGGAAACGACTACGGATTTTATGAATCTTCAGCCCAATTGGTATTGAAATTCTGGAATTTCTGCCKCTGAGTCCAATCTTTGTCCAAAGTAACACAATATCCTATATGGCATATCACAGAATCAGGTTGAAAAAGACTTCTGAGACCACCCAGTCCAGCCTGTGACTGAACATCACCTTCTCAACGAGACCACGGCACTGAGCCATGCGCAGTCCTTCCTTAAACACCTCCAGGGACAGGGACTCCACCACCCCCCTGGGCAGTCCAGTTCAGTGTCTAATTACCCCTTCCATGAAGAAAGTCCTCCTCATGTCCAACACAAACCTTCCCTGGCACAGCTTAAACCATATGTGGTACTTTAGATGACACTGACAGTGCTCAATTATACATCCAGGCATCATAATTTGCTATGCAGAGCCTATCAGTGAGAAGAGGCTTTTTGCACCAAATGGAATACACTTGTCACTTCAGTCACTCACAAATATGCTAGGACCAGAGGCCTCCTGAGAACTCCTGTAAGAATGTGGGTATGAGCCATTTATAAACTAATTCATTTCCACAGGTCTTTTAAGGGCTAGGTATGAGTGACAAAAACACAAAAAAAGGAGAGAGGGAGGATTAGGGCAATGGCAAGAAGATGGCAAAACTACAATAGAGAAACTGCACCATCTTACAGGTTCCAGGTCACTGTATCATATAGAAGCAAATTTAACTATGTCAATGCAAATCAGACTCCACTGCTCTTCAATCACCCTTTGTTACTCAATAATTTCTAGAAGCTTTCCTGGTAAAAGAACCTTTTGAAGAGGAAAGAAGAGTAGGAAAATAACTATATTGGATCAATAGATTATTCAGGCAGGAAACACAACACTAATTCAAGCTTAAGGCAGCAAAGTACTGACTTTCAAAAATTTAACTTTGAATCTACCTGCAGACCGGAGGTGGCACTTAGTTATCCACTTCCAAAGAAGGTGGATGCACCAGACTGTTCACTTGTATACATGTTCATTATATTGCATCCAGGATTTTGTGAAAGCAATGTAACAATTTCCATTCAACCTTTTAAATTGCATTAAATATGGCAATGGGACTAAATGTGATGGATTCAYTTCATCAAAACCAACATAAATTCCACAAATGTCAAGCTGACCCATCTGATCAAAAGTCCTTGCAGTGAACACARCAGTCCACACAACACCATCATGCATTTTATTTTGGGCACAGTTTGACCCCTAGGCACAACAAAAACAAAAGTCAAATGGTTACAAGACAAATCTGGATTTCAGGCAGCAGTACCAGAATTAAGTCCACACATTTTTTAAGAATAATTTATATTGCTGTTATTTAATTTGTGGTTTTTTTCAGTAGGTTGGCCAGTTAGAACTTAGTCCCATAGCTTGAACTGAAGGTATCACTACAGCATACACCCCTTCCTCAGGCAATTACAGAGTGGAAAATAAATCCAAAGTCAGTTATCAAGATTTTTATCTTCTTAGTTACAAACACCTGGAAATTAGGAATTACAACATAATGGTGGGGCAGTAACAATTTTATGGTTATGTAGGGAGTAAAAATTACACTCTTTTGTGGTCTGCAACTTGGTATGTTCATTTTTAGAGTAGTGCCAAGAGCTCTATTAAACTCAAGAGATGAGTGCTAAAACCAATAAAGATGGGACACAAATATATTAAGCCTTCAAGCTCTAATCCTAGAGAGTCTTGAGATACCAGACCTGAAACTCGTCAAGCACATCCTCACACTCCATAAACCTCTATAGGGAAGCAATCCAAAGTCCAGTGGAAAAATTCTTTCCACTAGTTTCACTGGGTTTTGGATAGGGCTCCAAAAAGCCCCCAAACTCAAGGAGAGCTACAAGAGAGCACCTAGAGTATCATTTTCCAATGGTATAAATCATTAATCTATGACTCCTGAAGTTCCTGAGATACCAGGTTATGTTGAAATCAAAATGTAGGATGGGAGGGAATAGGTACAGGGGTCAAGGGACAGCAAGCAGAATAATATGATTTCAGAACATAATCATGATTGGGGAAGAGCAACACAAATTGTGTCAGAGCCCATGAACTTTCCCAGCACCAGCAATCAGAGTGATATTTTAATGGCTGCTATATGTGTGGGGCAATAAAAGCAAACAATTTTGTTGTGTTGCATAAATAACTGAACTGTTTACTCTCCAATTTTCCTGGTAATTTAACCACAAATAACTTAAAATTTTAACACTTGAAAAATTATGTGATTAAATAAACCAGATTCTAGTAAGTTGCAAAGTTACATGGTGCGTGCACAGAAGCTGTAAACCTGAGAACACCACAGTAAGCATTTTCCAACAATATAGTTCTACGATTAAAGCAAAGGTCTTCTCAGAGTTGCAACACATCCTAAGTTGTGAAACAGGAGCAATTTGTTTAAGTGACAAATGAAAACAGCTTACCTAATCCTTTTAGAAGATCCTATCAATTAAGAAAATAAATGTGAAAGGTCTTCAAATGAAAAAGCCCACCTCACAAAAAAAGGATGTGACTTTTATGATACTTGTATTCAAATACAGCAGGAGCTATGGGAGTCTAACTGAAAGTACCAGGGTAATTATTCTGGCTTTTTTTTTTTCTACACAGATATCAATTCAAATAAGTTTTTAAGAACTCTTGCATCAGTTTGAGCCAGAAGTACCTCTATATTTTAGGGTAGTTAGCCACATCTTACCGTTGAGCATCCAAAGAATCTTTTTTTAAAAAAAAATCAGACTTACATTGTTTTTTCATCTCCTTAAGTTGATCCTGAAAGTATATATATTTTTCATTCCTTTGTAAATCTGATTCACTGTTGCTGCTCTCCAATTCAAGGAATTTTTCTTGTGCTAACATTTCTAAATCTGGTAAATTTTCTGGTTTTTCTCGTTTCACCTGTAAGGAACAAGAAATAGAATGTATTCATTATGACACATTTTAATACAAAGCAAAAGACATCAAGCAAAAATTCATTAGAATAACCAAAGTTTGACTACAGTTAGGCTTCCTTTTCTGAAGACATAACCTCCAAGTATGTTCATTCCAGTAAAAGTAACTAGGAAATGTAGATATTAACTTCTCACTGTCATTTGAATCATTTTCTGGGTTTTTCTCCCACTAACAAAACAGAAAATTGATCTGTGAGTGGTGAACATGTTAACAAGAACCAGCATGACACCGAACACGAATGAAACCACAGAATACAACTCTGTCCAGAAAGTGACATGATAACAGAAAATCTGAAATAACTTTTGTTAAGTTTTGTAAAAACCTCCATTTTCTCATCACTTTGGAATCAGGTTTACAGAAGCCTATAAGCTACATGCAAGATTAATGTGASAACACCAGCAAAATGTGAAATGAAACCACCTCAATTTATTTGCGTTGTKTTGTAAGGAGACATTTTAATCTTGATTTGTCACAACAATGGTTGTCAGAGGCACATGGGGGAAGGGTGCACACCTGTGGCTTGCAGGAGGCAGCCAGGAGATGGGGGAAGCCTTCTCTGTGGGGCAGGCAGCACCTCACATGGGACAGGCARTCAGCAGGAGACWCTGCACTCCCCAGRGATGCTTCTCCAATGGGATGGTGAAAGGTCTCCACCAAAGCACTGCAGAGGAAGATTGGACTGAGCCAATTGTCTCCTGGTCAGCAGGTGGACTTTGGGAGGAGCCAGGGGCCATAAAAAGTAACTGCACCAGCAACTTTTATGGGGCTTTTGAGAGTGTGCTTTTTGCTTTTGAGGCCTTTTGAGAGAGGGGGGTTCACTCGCTGGCTTGCTCGCCAATTCGTACGCTCCTTGCCCTGGCCCTAGACTGCTTTTTGCCCTATTCAACCTACCTTCAGCCTGGCTTTTGCCTCTTCTGCCCTCACTGGCTCACACTCTCACTGGGTGCTTGGCAGGATGCCGGCTGACCCCTAAGCCACGTGTGCAGCCTGTGTCCTGCCCCACCTGCTCACCCCCCCCAGCC